CCTGGGGTGTCTCACATTGGCCGAGACACTCCGTTGAGGTGCATTCGTCCGCTTCCGCTGTAAATTCTTCGTCCGAACTCGGATTTTAGTGATTCGAAGTGCGTTGGAAGTCTGACGAAGAGTTTTATCAGCTCCACTGGTTGGATTATCTGTAGAATGGACGAGACACGAAGGACGTTGTTCTTTTTGTAACCTCGCGGGGCTCTCGATTAGCCCGTGCCTTCGTTATCCCGAAATTCTGTCAGCTCATGTAGTTCGTCGGTTTACTTCAATCGTCAGTCAAACTCCTGTGAACCAGATAGTGACGTTCATCGTCGCTCTTTAACACTGAACTGTTCGTGGAGACCTATTAGGCGTTCATCGTCGCTCTTTAACACTGAACTGTTCGTGGAGACCTATTAGGCAATTTTCGATGCCTACAATGGTTTGATGCCATGAAAGATGAGTTGAAATTAATGGAGTATAATGAAGTTTGGGATCTTGTAGAATTGCCTAAAGGTTATAAAAGAGTTGGGTGTAAATGGGTCTTTAAGACCAAACACGACTCAAATGGCAATATCGAATGACACAAGGCTAGGCTCGTTGTCAAAGGTTTTACTCAGAAGGATGGTGTTGACTATAAAGAAATATTTGCTCCTGTTTCGAAAAATGATTCATTTAGAATTGTTATGGCTATGGTGGCTCATTATGACTTAGAGCTACATCAAATGGATGTGAAAACCGTTTTTCTAAATTAAAATTTAGATGAAGAAGTTTACATGGACCAACCTGAGGGTTTTTCAGTTGAAGGAAAGGAACACATAGTGTGTAAGCTTAAGAGGTCAATATACGGGCTCAAACAAGCTTCCCGACAATGGTATCTTAATTTTAATGATACTATCACATCTTTTGGATTTAAAGAAAACATCGTTGATCGATGTATATATCTAAAGATCAGTGGGAGCAAGTTTATATTTCTAATTCTGTATGTTGATGATATCTTGCTTGCTACTAATGATCTTGGCTTGTTACACACGAGACCAAGAAATTTCTCTCTAAGAACTTTGAAATGAAAGATATGGGTGAGGCATCCTATGTGATTGAAATTGAAATATTCCGTGACAGATCACAAGGATTGTTAGGGTTGTCTCAGAAATCATATATTAATAAAGTTCTAGAGAGGTTCAAGATGGATAAATGCTTTGCATCTGTTGTTTCAATTCAGAAAGTGGATAAATTCAGTTTTATGCAATGTCCAAAGAATGAATTGGAACACAAACAAATGGAACAAATTTCTTATGCATCCATCGTTGGGAGCTTGATGTATGCTCAGGTTTATACAAGACCTGACATTAGTTTTGCTATCGGAATGTTGGGTAGATATCAAAGTAATCCAGCATTGGATCATTGAAAAGCTGCAAAGAAGGTATTGAGATACTTGCAAGGAACAAAGGATCATATGCTCACTTATAGGAGATCTGATCACCTTGAGGTGATTGGATATTCAGATTCAGATTTTGCTGGGTGTTTGGATACTAGAAAATCCACATTTGGCTATTTGTTCCTTTTAGCTGGAGGAGCGATCTCATGGAAAAGTGTGAAGCAGTCTGTCATTACTGCATCGACTATGGAGGCTGAGTTCGTGGCATGTTTTGAGGCCACTGTTCATGGATTATGGCTGTGAAATTTTATTTCAGGACTTGAAATTGTTGACAGTATTGCTAAGCCGATGAAAATTCATTGTGATAATGTTGCAGTAGTCTTCTTTTCTAAAAACAACAAGTATTCGAAAGGTGCTAAATATATAGAATTAAAATACTTTGCCGTTAAAGAAGAAGTTCAGAAACAAAGGGTGTCAATTGAACATATTAGCACAAATCTCATGGTTGCGGATCCGTTAACAAAAGGATTGTCACCAAAGATATTTACTGAACATGTTGAAAGAATGGGCATTATTAAAAATCATTACTAACTGTTATGTAAAGTTTATGTTTATTATATATTTGACACCTTGAGCTCATCTGAATATTGTTTCTGATATATTAATGTATCATGTTCTTTATTATTAGTGTACATGTGAATGATTATGTGAATATTAACAGGATTTGTCCTTGACAAGGACATTATTGTTGGACCATTATGATAAGTCTTATTACGGGTCATGTTTAATTTAAAGCTAATATTATGATACATGGAAGGGACTATGTCGATTTAAATACATACAACCGTCATGATCCTTATTAGTTTTCTACTTAATGATGATTGATGGTTTGATCAATATGATGATGGAATTAGCTTACACTACGCATATTATGTTATATTATTAAATCATGATGTTAAATTATGAAACATGGACCAAGTGGGAGAATGTTAGATTTTAGTGTAGTGGCTCACGTTTTTGTTTTAAACAACTTTAGTGGCCACGTTTTTTTTTCTTTTGGTTTAAGAAACTGGTCATGATTTATTTTAGTTATATAACTAATCACATTTTATGCTAAGTTCCTATTGGCCAAGATAACTACTCACATTGATGGATTGTGAGTAATTATTTTATTTTAAAAGGCTTGGTCCTCTCTCTACCTTGTATGGGAAAAAAATTTCTCTCCATCAAGAAAATTTCGGAAAAGCTCAAAAAGGGTTAAGGGAGAGAAACTCAAGTCTTCAAGGTTGTTCATCTTGCAATCAATTTCTCTTCAAGTTTTAAATCATGGATCAATGTACGTTTTCTTAATTAGATTGTTCATTGTGAAAATCATATAGTTCTAAGATCTTGGTATTATGATGATTAAACCAAAATGAAGTTTGATTTACTTAAGAATTTCATTAAAAACATATATTATGTTGCAATGAGTTTCCTTATAGGACATACGAAAGAAAAAAATGAAGTTGAAACCAGAATTTGTAAACAATGAAAGGCGCGGAATATTTAAATCTCAATAACAGCAATCCTTCATAGTTTCCCTCCTAACCAACTTGCACGGTTAGACTAGAAAAATGACCAAGATAGTTGAAACGAGAAGTCATGGTGATCACACCAATGTCAAACCCGAAGCCCAAAAATAACTATAACATTAATATTCCCAAAAAAAAGAAAAGAAAAAGAAAATCAAATGAACAGAAGAAAGACCCAAAAACAAACTTCAACTTTACACTAACCAATGACCCGATGCAGTGAATATTAATTAATCCAACAAAACAATAGATTAATTATTCCCGTTAAAGAAATTTCAAAGGCTCAAATTAATTAATTAAGTCAAAGCCCTTATTTCTCATTGGCGGTGCCCTCTCGAATCCTCACGTGCCGCGTTGACCTCCTCACTATAAAACCCCCATCCCTTCACCGAAATGCCATTAAAATTATCCAAACTTCTTCATTAATCAATGGCTGAGCTTGAGATCCCGTCCTATTTCCTTTGCCCGATCTCATACCAGATAATGAAAGATCCGGTGACCCTTTCAACCGGTATCACCTACGACCGCAGCAGCATCCAGCAATGGATATTCGCCGGAAAGCACGACACCTGTCCGGTCACCAACCAGTTGCTTTCAAGCCGGGATCTGACACCGAACCACACCCTCCGGCGACTAATCCAAGCTTGGTGCGTCGCCAACGCAGTCGAGCGGGTCCCGACACCTCGACAGCCAATCGACCGGGCCCACATTGCCAGGATCGTCGACAAAGCTCGGTCTTCGACGCAATTTCAGCTGAGCTGTTTACAACAGCTTAAGTCGATAGCGTCAGAGAGCGAGATAAATAGATCCTGCATCGAAAACTCAGAAGCAGTCGAGTTCTTGGCTTCTGTTGTCAGCATTAGCGGTAATAATAACGGTTGTGACGATTCAGTTAATGAAGCGCTCGAAATTCTAAGCAAGCTTCAGATCTCCGATCAAGCGCTCATCGATCTTGTCTCAAGATTCGACGACCTCATCGACTCGTTAACCAAGATATTGAATCAATCGAACCATACATCAAGAACCAACGCCTTGATTCTATTAAAATCGATAGTCCAAGTGATTTCACCAGCTCGATTAATGGCGGTGCGAGAAGATCTCTTCCTCGGAGTAGTGAAGATGCTTCGAGACAAAATCTCGATCAAGGCGACAAAATCGGCCCTCGAAACCCTAATAGGTGTCTGTTCGTGGGGACGGAACCGGATCAAAGCGTCTCGCTCAGGCGCAGTGCACGTGCTGATCGAGATCCTGATCGATTGCGAGAACGAGAGGAGAGTTAACGAGATGGCTCTCGTTGTGTTGGACAAACTGAGCTCTTGCGCTGAAGGGAGAGCCGAGATTGTAAAGCATGCGGCGGGGATTGCGGCGGTGTCGAGATCGATACTGAGGGTATCGGCCACGGGGAATGAGAGGGCAGTTAGGGTTCTGTGGTCGGTGGCTAGGTACTCAGCGACGGCAGCGGTGGTCCAGGAGATGATGCAGGTGGGAGCAGTGGCGAAGCTGAAGCGAAGGAGATGGGGAGGGAGATTCTGAGGATGCATTCTAGGGTTTGGAGGAGTTCGGTCTGTTTGTCTCCTCAGCTGCGAGCTCTGTATCCATGTCAGCTTGTTTAGAGATTAATGACTGTAGGAGGAGGAGATGATAAATCAGTGGTTTGTTAATTAGCGTGAAATCATGATCACACAGAGAAGAAATATATACAGAATTAGGATTGAGTTTCTTTTCCTTTTACTGTTATTGAATATCTTTGACCTTCCTTTTTTTTCTTTTTATAATTATTGTTTCCTAATCCCAGTTTTCAAATGATTATTAAATTGTGCTTGTGTAATTTGCTCAATAGAAATAGAACCTATAACTAAGCGTAAATAATTTTTCCCAAAAAATAATAGCTTTAATTAATTAAGAGATTAGCAGATTGTGGGATATAATTTTCCTATCTATCGTTCTATTTTTTTCTGTTGAATAAACGAATTTCTAGATTAATATACAGACATAAATTAGTTTTATTTGTTTTTAAGATAAATATATAAAAAGCACTTAACTATGTATGAGAATGTTTTGGCCGGCCAAATCGTGGTCCGAGCTTTCTTTTTTTTTTTTTTTTTTGAAGTTCTGAAATCTTGTTTTAATGTGAGATTTGTTTTAATTATTTCATGAAAGCCTCTGTAACAACAGATACCTTTACATTAAAAGAAAAAAGAAAACAATGGATGAGCGCTTATAAATAATTGATTTCTTGGCACTCGAACTAACGTGAGTTGCGAGATGCTAGGAGTCTAGGCAATTGAATATGTATTTTTTTAAGCTGTTATTTTTTTAGTTCTGTTTTTGTCTGTATACAGTACGGAGTGCGCTTGTCAATTGTAAACTAATATTGCTAGATAAGGAGCATCTTTAGTTACTTATACTAATGGCTTTGACACCGAATTCCTATCGCTAAGTACTTATGAAGAGGTAAGATTCTAATAAAATTGGTTGATTTATTCCGGAGATTGCTACAGCTATCGCATATATATGTCATACATCGGTGCTTGTTCCCTTTTTATAAATCTTTTTCTCGGAGAAACTAAGAAATTATGGTCAAAAGGTTTGTAACATAATTATATTTTTTATTTTGAAAATATTAAATAATAATAATTCATAGAAAATAGTAAGTAAGCTACTTTTATTGGATTAGTGTCGCTCTGAAAGACTATACATATATTTAACTTTGAACATAAATTTCAAATTGTTTATTAGATACAATCTAGCTCATACATCTCCCTCATTGTTTTCAAATATTTGTGCGATTGTTAACCTGCTCTTCCCTGTGTCCAGAGACAAATCCCATCATCTCATTTCTCTGGCTGTTTTTAAGTCTGTTCGAATAAAAATAATAAAGCATCACAATAGTAGTTATTGGAATTTTGCTTTCGTTAGAATATAAATGTTTAACTCTTATACGCCTCGTTTGGTACACAGAAATGGAGTCAAGTGAGAATAAAAAGAATGTAGGAATAGAATGGAATAGATGTGGGAATGGAATGCGCATTCTTATTCTTATGTTTGGCCGCATTTAACTAGAGAATAAAACGGGAATGACAACTTTGTTCTCATTTCTATATTTGGTATTATTTGTTCACAATTAAGAATAAAATTTAGTTTTATAATGCCCTTACAAAAACACAGAATTTTAAAAACATAAAAATATTTTAAAAATAACTAAATAATTCATTTTTTTAGAAATATAAGTTTTATAGAAATGATATTTTTTCTTATAGAAATAATTTTTTCAGTTGATAGTTATATTTTGGTACACCGATCAGAAACAATTTTGGACTTTTGGCTTACTAATTAAATAATTATAATTTCACATTTCTAACTTCTAATGCTACATGTCTATTACTTATACGAGCAGCTAAAGCTACTAGCATCAATGTACAGAAACATATACAATAGACTGAATTTCATATGCATGCTATATGATTTATGATTGCATTCCATGTGCATGCATGAAGAGAGAGATCAGAAGAAAACACTAAATTTTGAAGGAATTGTAAAAAAAACAAGTTAACTTTTAGTTTGTATATAAAATTTCTATGAAATTTTAAATGCACCTTTAACTTTCAAAAAATTGATTAGGAATAGAAAACATGTTAACCTAGAAAGTTTGAAGGAATAGAAAACATGTTAACCTCTAATCAAAATATAAAGTTCCAATCTCATCAATTAAGCACATTATTTCTTCTTGTGAGTGCTTTGAAAAAATTACTGAAAAGATTAGGCATATATGCTTCAATAGAACTTCAAATCATACATCCAAAGATAAAATATATGCTAACCTAATTTCTAATAGATAAAAAATTGCTGTAAAGATTAGGTAAAGATTAGCCACACATACATATTTTAAAAAGAACTAATGGTTACCTAACCAAGTAGCGTCAAGGCGAGGACGATATTTTTTTTCCTACTGCAGACTCGATGGAACTATAGCAAAGTCAAACAAAGAATAATATTTTAATATTTTACATCTATTTGTATATTTGAACGAGCAGCTAATGATATTATTTCTATAGAAATAATTTTTTATATGGGAACTTACATCTATTCGTATCTTTTAAGAATGGTATAATCGGAAATTATTTGATCATTTTGTTCCCACTTAAGTGAGAATATCAATTCCTTGCTAAATGGTTGGGAATGACGATTCCCACATAAAGTGGGAAGTGATAAGAAGTAGGAATAGCAATTCTAGCATCTAAAAATACATCGTGTTTGATACGCATGAATAAATAGTTAGAATTACATTCCGTTTTCACTTATTCCCGCGTACCAAATAAAGCGGTGTTTCAAAGTAGTGATAAAGGCTTGAGAGTTTTATTCAGAATTAAAACAAACAGTGCTTTGAATGAATATATTGATTGAAGGATTCTTTCTAATAAAAAAGCCATATATTGTCAACGTGAAAACAGTACGTTGAATGGTTTTCACGACACAATTGTACTAAGACCCTAACATGGCAGACAACTGACTTTCCAATAACTGAGGAGGCAGAGGATAATGCAAGGGATCATGCGTATAACATGGGCTCTAGGCTGCAAGTGGGCTGAATATTTGATACATAGAGCTGGATCTGACTTTCATCGGTATTAAGTGAGAAGGTTCCCTTTTTCATAGTCAGTGTTAAGTGGGCCCAACTCCAAATGTACAAAGGAGGAGTGGTCAGCGTGAAGCTCGATCAGTAGTGCCATTTAGAGCCACTCAATGGGACATAATTAGCATGGACCACGAAATTCTCCATAAATGCAATTCAAAACGTGATTGTAGCTAATTGGTTGATCCTGCGTGCCTTAGTGTTGCCCTTTTGGTCCTTTTCTTTCTTTGAATACTGGAGTTTTCTCCTTTGGTAGCTAGTTTGGTAGCTAGTTCTTAGCTAACTTTGTCAAATACGCGGTAACTTTTATGTAAATTTTGATTATAGAAAACTTGGATAGCTAGTTTGGCTTGTAGTTACGCTTTAGTTATTTGTTGTCACTTTTTATTTTTCTAATTCATGTTTTGTTTTTTTGTTTCTTTTAATATAAAACCACAAAGGGAAATAAAAATCTTACTTGAAGAGATTAATTTGCTAATTCAAGTTTCTGATACAAGTATTGTATTTTCATTTTTGTAAAGTCTGGTTTTCTATTATCGTAATTTTATGAAAGTATAACAATAAAATATAGAATAACTTAATTAATTACCACATAATCACCATTGTTCTAAAAAATCAAATTAAGAAAAAATTATAAAAGAGATTTATTTTTCTTACATTTAATCCTCTTACCAACTTGATCCAGGCGACTAGTTGTCTCTTTTTTTGCATTTATCATGAAACGCATCCTTTGTTAGTGCCGGAGAGAGGAGATCGACACTGCACCTCGTGCCTTTGACTGAACAATATCATAGAGTCCGACGTCGCAGCTGAACTTTTCCTCGTGACTCGACCAAAACTAGCAGAGCCCACCATATCGTCGCGCCTTGGGTAGCCACATAATCAGGACTTCATCATAGAGCAAGTAAACGTCTACATAATGCAAGTAGAGTTTGCTAAGAGCTCACCTCCACAAGCTGAAAATTTCGTCTACGTGGTTCCTTATAAACATGATAATTAGGGTAAATTACAGATACGTATGCTCCTCATGTACGTATACATTCTGTAGAACTTACCACTATTCAACTAGTTTTTATCATGCACTTAACATCTAATTTACAATTTGAGAAGGATATAAATATTAATTGCAGATATAACTCCATCTTTTATAAAATTCTAAGGTGTTAAGTACTGGTAAAATAGTTTAAGGATCGATGACAAGTATCACTGAAGATGGACATGAGGGATAATTTGAAACTTGATCACCCGTGCAATTATTATCATAATTTCCCGTATTTATCAAAGATAAATATGACTACTGTTTATTAGAACATAAACAATTAATTGAGATTAAGGAAATGAACTCCTCTATTAGCAAATGCTGTTAGCATAGTTAAATACCGTTTTAAATACATCAGAGTATTTGAAATCCTATTTTTCTCGTCCTACCAAAAGGGGAAAAGGTAAGAGAGGATTAAGACAGTTGGATTGGGGTGGTCAACAATTGTGTTCTGAAGGAATTTTCTCCTTTATCCATGACAAATTTTGTTTATTTATTTTCTGGCACCTACAAAATTTTAGGGAATAGACAAGCTACTTTATGTTAATTTTCCTGATGGAGAAAAAATATTTTGTGATGAACGTCTTCACTGTTTTAATTGTTTTCTTCCTGCATGAACAAAACGTTCAATTCCTTTTAGAAAGAAGATAGATAGTGCTGTCATCACTTGCACCTTTTCTTTTTGAGCAAGTGGTGGAGGATTTAGCCTGCACCTTTTACATAAATAATTCATCTAAAATCTGCAATATATTCTGGAAGTTTTTCATCTTTTAATAAAACTCTAATATGTTGTCATATATTTATCTTTGACCAGAAAATCTATCCGTTGATATTTTTCTGTATGTTGAGATAAATTAAGGG